CTGCATACATCCCAGACCCTAAATGATGGTACCGGTTGCCGCACTTGCAGTAGACGACCCCTTGCTGATTGACCAATCTAAATTTTCGAGCGCTTCACCACACTACCTTTCCTGCCAACGATACACTAATACCTGTGGATGAGGAACACAAACATGTGATTGCGACTTGGAGCCTCAGGTGGAAGTTTCCGATTAACGGGGCGATGACTCAGTCGAGGTGGCTGTGGCATCCATCCCTGAAACGGAGAAGTCGGAGACATTTACTAACGGATACGTAACGAAATCGTCCAAGCTGGTGAAGTTAGAGGCCACCAGAGCGGGGAAGAGGTGTGATCCCGGGATACTAAAGGATATTTTAACAGTGTGGGGAGGAGGAACCACTACCACTTTGATCGTAATGAAGCGCTGCAAGTAGAATGATCGTCTATCTGTCGAAAAGCCAACAGACAATCACATTGAATCTTGCATTAGAGCATAAAGATAACATCCTGGTGTTTCGGTTACGTAATCGTCTAATCAGTGATTCTGTTGCACCTGCTAGCTCGTCCTATCTAGATCCAGAACCTCGTGCAACGTCGGTCTTTGCTCTCGAGCGTATTCCAAGAGTCGTGAATGCCTTTACAGTTGCGCCGTAGTGGATTCGATATGTTAATCGTGTTTTCGAATTCTTACGAGACATAAGTACTTTAATATCATACGATTGGCTAGGATCGAGAAATTTAGGAATGGCTTCATTTTGTTTATTGAACTCTCATTTTAAATAAAAATAAACCCCAGTGCACCAAGAGGGGAAACCCCGGTGTTGCGATATCGGATCCAAGATTTAAACTACCGTTCTGACTAAGTCTTACTCATCCTCATAATCACGACTAGTGCACGGCAGTCCGTGTATCCCTCATGCTCCAGGATCACACTAATCAGGTCAGGTAATTCGAGGCTGCGTGCCGACTCTCCCCTTTGCAAGCATGTGTGGCATAATAGCGAAGTCATTACACGTACAAAATCAATTTCCTACAGAGATGACATTCACGTACATTTTCACAGTAGCCACAGTTTACGATCAACTACTGCTTTCCGTAGAAATAGGTTCAACTTAGCTGCTGTTACTTGATAGCGTCTTATTTCATGGAGCCCTTTCGATCACACCAAGCCTTGAGCTCTTGCAGCTTGGTCCGTATGCTCGGGTAGTGTTTACGGGTCGCGCCTTGCGTGAGCGATCTAGCGTTGCGTGTGCACTCTCTTCTACCTCCACGAGAAGGCTCAGGGCGGGTCTTAACCACGTCATGCCATGCCATGGCACGAAACTAGGTATTCTGATTGGCCAGTATTATTCAAAGTTAGGTCATTCGTGCCATCAATGGCAAATTCGTAGTGCCACCAAACGTGCCATTGCCATCTTGCCACTGCTTCCATTACTGTCAAATTTCGAAAACATGGAGACCAAGATTGCATGCGTCACGATGATACTGCTCTTACTTCTTCTCATTATCGTTCTCCCTATCGACACTCGCCGGAAGTGCCTTCACCGTGTGCGCATAGACTGGGACCAATACTCACAATGCCTAATTGACGAAGGGCAATTCCACAAGTGCTACAAGATGTCGTACTCGTCTTTCATGGCGCTCGCAGAAAAGCTCGAGCCGTATCTGCTGGTGGACGAGCGGCAATCGTGTAATCGGACGGGCATAGGGCCGATTACGCACATCAATAAGCTCCAGATGTGCTTGCGCTGGCTAAGTGGGGGATCTTATCATGATGTGCGATCTAACAGTGGTGTGAGTGTTGCTGCGTTTTACGCCTCAATTCATCAAGTCGTGGATGCGATAATAGCTCATCCAGAGCTACAGCTTGAGTTTCGTACTTCAGAGCCGGCCCAACGTCATGCTGTCAAGGCGTTTGAGCGACTAAGCAGCTCTCGTATCATGAAGGGGTGTGTTGGCGCCGTCGATATGTGGCTTTGTCCTATCCGAGTCCCACCGAAAAAAGAGGTTTCCAGGGTGCGATCGTTCTTCTCTGGCCATTATCAGCGGTACGGTGTAAACATTCAAGCTTGTTGCGATCATCTAAGTCGGTTTACTGCCGTAACGTGCTCAAGTCCTGGTGGAACTGGTGACGCAGTGGCATTTTTAAAGTGGAGATTATCAGCGATTGTCAAGAACCTCCCCAAAGGACTTTACATTGTCGGTGACAACGCATACACGAACACAAACCAGCTATTGATTCCATTTCCAAGGCCTCGGATCACTTCTTCTGCTCATGACAGCTATTACTTTCACCTTAGTCAGCTTCGGATTAGGATCGAAATGGCTTTCGGTCTTCTAGTCTGTAAGTTGCGTGTGTTCAAGGCTCCTTTGGAAATCGGCTTTAAGAGAGTGCCTCGTACGATTTTAGCAGCTTGTATTTTACACAATTGGTGTATCAATCAGCGTCTTCGCGAGAACCGAAGCTATAGAGTTGAAGACGATGAAGATATGGTTGAAGTCGTTGAATCAACCCGCTTGACAGGGGACAGATGTGTTGATTCTACAGTCGAACCTCAAGATTCTTCACGTTACCGTCGCCTGTACGAGTCGTCTGACCTGGTGGTTGACACAGACACGTATAACAGCTCGGAATGGGTTCGTGATGCCATCGTTGGATTAGTTCCCAATATTTCTCGCCCACAACGCAATAGGATTAGACGAGCACAAGAAGAGAAGGAGAACGAATAGATATCCAAGCTTAACCTTGATGGTTGCAGCGCTTAATCCAGACTAAAACAAATAACGATGAGATAAATAAATCAAAACTCGGTTCGAGATTTCCACCGGTACGACGAGGATCTAATCCAAATCTGCAAGGCGGCTTTCGTAGTACTGCAAACGCTGCTGATATAAGTCGACGCTTTTAGCTAGTGAGGGGTCCGAAAACCCGCTTAGCTCCATCTTCCGTTGGCTTTCCTTTACCTGGTCGATCATTTGCTGCAGCTTCGCAATTCGTCCCAGCAGTAAACCTTCATCAAGGGTCTCGCGTGAAATGCGACTCGTTGAGAGAGCTACAGCAGATTGTGGAGTTTTTGCGAAGATGTCGACCTTGCGATTGATCGTCGCGAGCACTTGGTCTTGCCATTTCGATGATTTTACCTGAGCAACAGGTTTCTCCGACACAGGCATATTGAGCGAGTCGATTTCGTCTTCTTCGTGCATGCCACCACTGACAAAATCCATTAGCTCTGGTTTCACCCCCGTGCACACTCGAAGATAGAGGACCTCTAAATTCGCGTCGCAAAAATCGTAGAACTCGTTGGAGTTTTGTCCAGACACATTGAATCTAGCTAACGCCTTCACAAACTTGCCGTTCACCGATTTCCTCATGTCGTAGAGCTTTGCTGTGTTGTGCTCTACAATCACCGAAGGATTAATACCTTCGTAGCGAGGGTCGTTTGCTGCTTCAGCGAAAAGTTCATTGAAGTCAGTCGTATTGGTGCGATACACAACACCTACTTCCTTCCAGAACGCGGTTTTTTTGTTCACTTCCCCGGCATCAATTTGGTCACGGGTCGCTGTATCGTCCGACGAAGCAAGTTTCTCCGCAAAGTGATCCGAGAAAAGAATATTGAGGAGACGAATCATGCAGTGTTTTGTTTTGCGTGGGCTGGACTCCATCAGATACCCTTCGTCCACTGAAGACTGCGCAGCTCTGCGTGCAGCATCATACGCTCTGAGCCGTCTGATCTGCTCAGGTCTACTCACTTTTCTTCCAAGCAGAAACTTCCTTTCAGTACACTCTTTTCGAAGCTGAACGACTGTCCACTGGTCGTAGTCGTTGCATGTTGGCGGTATCACCTTTCCAGGTTTACGAACAGTCCAACTAACCACGTGCTCAACTCTGGTATCAACCACGGCTTCCTCGGTGCCAGCAACGGCCACATTTTCACGAAAATCAACAGCAGCATCACTCTCGGACTCGGATCCAATCACTGCGTTGATGGCTTCGAAAAGATCTGCGTCGCACCTGTTGCTTGTGGCTCCATGATCTAGATGGACCGAAGTTGCCGACACCACAA